CTGGGCACCACACAAGGGAAATTAAATTTGCAGCGGCTCTCCCATTCAGCCCACCGTCCTCGAGCCTGTCACACAGGAACAGGAGGAGGCCATTCAGCCCATCTCCACACCAGCCACAAGGTCCCCATTTAACCCCCTCTGGCAGACCGCTGCTACAATCTTCGGGCTCAGCCTGTGCTCTCGCTCTGTCAGTCTCGATGTTCTAATCACACAGTGGCCCAGTGTAGTTCAAACGGGACTCACATTCGCATTGAGACACACGGCTATCTCAGTTACAAAGGAACCCTCCACTTCCCATTTCCCTTGAGGTGGCCTGACTGGCTCGTAAACACTTAGAAAGCTGCTCTCGACTGACTTGGAATGGGTCCAGAAAACGGCAGTTTCCTCGCGCTCAGTGACTGACAGCACAGAGCATAATCTGTTCACACTGCCCAGCAGAGAGAGGGAGACGGGGGCGCGTGCACGCGAGGTGGAGAGGGGGGCGCGCCCGCGCGCGAAGCAGAGTGAGAGGGTGCGCACAGGTCAGAGAGAGAAGGCACGCACAAGTCAGACAAAGAGGGCACGCTTGCACGAGGCAGAGACAGACAGGGGACGCGTGCACGAGACAGAGAGAGAGGGCGCGTGCGCGAGACAGAGAGGGCACGCGCGCGAGACGCAGAGAGAAGGCGCTCGCGCAAGACGCAGAGCGTGGGCATGAGCGGGACGGAGAGAGAAAGAGAGAGTGAACACGAGAGCCGGCAAGCAAAAGACAGAGAGAGGCAGACGGAGACCAATATTTGTTGCAGCAGGAATGGGTCACCCCGAAACGTGCAGCCACCCTCCCCCTCACCCCACCCCCACCACCCCACCTTATACCTCCTGAGGGACTGTGAGCACTGGGAGATACTCACGGTGGATACTGAGTGAGATATTAATGACCCTCTCATCGGTAAAGCCCTTCAGTTTAGTGATCTTGGCACACTTGAGGCAGGTTTCCGCAGCAGCGTCTCCCACATAGACCCAGCAGACGGTCTCCTCAGCGTAAATAAAATCCATGGCGGTGGTCTGCTTGGTGCTGATGGGGTTAATGTAGCTGATGCCGGCTCCCTGCAGGTTGGTGGCCATGATGCTCTGGGAATTGGCAATGAGGAGGATCGGCGGCCTGTCCACTGGCTCTACACGGGGGAGAGACCGAGAGAGAGAGTGAGTGAGTGTGTGTGTGAGAGGGAGGGAGAGAGAGAGAGAGAGAGAGAGAGAGAGGGGGAGAGAGAGAGAGAGA